CAGGAATGCGCAGAGGGCAGCAAGCACGATAGAATGTTATTTTATAATACATGCAGTTTCCTTAATCTGAATGTAAAGGGATTATTTTATTCATTTGCATTCTGATGGTGGAATCCAGAATTGTGCTTTACTGCCAGCATCTGAGATAAAGGAGCTGTCATTGCTATTGAGTGTATGCAAGTATCTGTGGAAGCATGCAGCAGTTGTCAGTACATTCTGGAATATCTATATCTTCTAACACAATTTTTCTTTTATGTGGCATGACCATAAAGCTGTTCTAGTACTTCAAGCTGTTATTTAGAAATACAGGCACACTTTATTTTCTTTACCCTGTTTGACTGTGAGACCAAGGAAAACCAGCAGGAGAATGCCAGGTGGAAGGTGATGTTTGCTATCAGTTTGTGAATCGGAGGGAGTCTTGTCTCTGCTTTCTCTGTGCTTTTTTGTTGGTGGGAGGAAATTAAGGGGACATCTGCTGTTGGTCTCCTATTCAGAAGTCAGCAGGAGCCACTTAGCAACTCGTGTGATGCTGTTTTTGCTGGCAATTGCATACCTGTGGAAGGGGTGTTGTGAGAATACTAGTTTGAAGGAAGGGTTAGCTTCCTGATGGCTACTTGATAAGAAACATCACCATACCCGAATTGATGGCCTGGAAACGTTTAAATTCAGTACCTGAAATAGGTGATTCTGATGTGCACAAATAAACTGGCCCTTGAAAAAGCAAGCTGTAGCCACTTGCTCCTGCTCTCTTGTAATGGCACAAGTTGAGTTTTCATCTGTTTCCTCACCTGGTTTAGTGTAAAAGCAATTTTCTCAACATTGAGGAGAGAATAGGGAGCAAGCAGCTGGGGAGCAAGGGCAAGTTCAGTCCTTCTATTTGGCTGTAGCATAGTTGTTTCATACCATAGCATGACTGTAGCATAGTTGTGTTTCAGCTTTAGCTGAGATCAGGTCTGTGTTAGAATATGTGGGTATAAACTCTCTAACTGCACAGGAGGGATTAAGGAAAGTAGACACAAAACATTGCATTTTGCATTGTACCACTTCTGAAATCGGTGCCAAAAGCTTTAAATGTTGGATGCTAGACTGCTGTTTAAAAGTCAAGCGCATACTTTTGAACTGTCTTTAAAAGTATATTTTATGATTCGTCATACAACCTTATATTAGGGCCTTCATCTGTCAGCCTTTCAGTCTGGAGCTGGTAAGAGACAGCAGTACAGATTAAATCTGGTTGTTCTTTCACCTTTGAAAATCAACCTCCCTGTTACGGTGGAAGAGTCCCACAGAAAAAGAAGGAAATTGCTTAGAGTAATTTTGGCCAATTTTATACTTTAGAAAAGAGAGCTTGCTCACAAAAATGAGAGGTGGTGTGCCTGTGCCAAGCTATAGGTTGTGGTGATAGGGGGAGAACACTGCTTCCTCTTGCATAGTCGGCTTTATTATTTTCATTGTTTAAAAGTCAGAATCTTTGACCTTCATAGTTCAGCCTTTCAAAATTAATCCTAATTATCAAGTAAGTAGTAGTATTTTCTTTGAAGAGGGATTTCAATGTTCCACAACACTAGACTATGATACAAAAAGGACAGGGAGTTTTCTGTTGTGTTCTGGAAGAATCAGTTGTGTTGGTTAAACGGTTTCTTAGCATGATGTATCCTTTCGAAGGGAGTACACTTTGCTGTGCCATATTTTTGGGAGTGAAAGCTGATGTAGCTGTCTCTGATCACACATGCATTTAATGTGTTACACATAAAGGACATTTTGGAATAGAGCATGCAGAACTTTAGTAAAATAAACAAGTGTTTAAAATGTGTTGGAAGACAAGTGGTAATACTGATTAATCTGATTTTTGTTTGTTTCATGAAGTGAGAGGTATTTGTTGGTAGAGTTCATGCTTTGGTCTGAATTTCAGGTAGTACTGCATGGGTTGCCTTGAGGGTTTGTTATTGTTGCTATTGTTGGACTGTGGAAACAGTTAAGGCTTTGAAATCAAGAACACAACCAAATTCAACCTTCATCCTGGATATTTTGTTTCTTCTTTGAGAAAGCAAAAATGAAACCAGATGATGGAAGCTCAGATGCTTCACCATGATCCTCGAAAAGGCCTATTTGGGGCCCTGTTGGTTCACCTGTGCTTATTTCTCCCCCCCCTTTTTTTTTTTCTTTAGAATATGATATCAAGTTTTCGTGTTTCTGAACTACAAGTGTTGCTGGGGTTTGCGGGGCGGAATAAAAGCGGGCGGAAACATGACCTCCTGATGAGGGCACTGCACTTACTGAAGAGCGGCTGCAGCCCAGCAGTTCAGATCAAGATCCGGGAACTCTACAGGCGTCGGTACCCGCGGACAATTGAAGGACTTTCAGACCTGTCAGCCATAAAACCTGCTGTTTTCAACTTGGACAGCAGTCCCTCTCCTGTCGAGACTGACCTGGCTGTTGCTGGTATCCACTCGCTCCCTTCTACTTCGGTCACGCCTCAGTCTCCTGCCTCGCCTGTCAGTTCTGTGCTCCTCCAGGACACTAAGCCCCACTTTGAGATGCAGCAGCCATCTCCTCCGATTCCACCCGTTCATCCTGATGTTCAGTTGAAAAGCCTGCCTTTTTACGATGTGCTTGATGTGCTCATAAAGCCTACAAGTCTAGGTAAGTGTTTAATTACTCTGCAGGTTGCTTTAACCCATGAAATAGCTGTTGCTTGCAACAGTTCTCACTCCAGACTTAGTGTGTTTTGCAGCGGGGAGGGAAGTGGAAGGTCCTTTTCCTTCTGATCATAGAATAGTTTGGGTTGGAAGAGTCAGATGCTTCACCATGATCCTCGAAAAGGCCTATTTGGGGCCCTGTTGGTTCACCTGTGCTTATTTCTCCCCCCCCTTTTTTTTTTTCTTTAGAATATGATATCAAGTTTTCGTGTTTCTGAACTACAAGTGTTGCTGGGGTTTGCGGGGCGGAATAAAAGCGGGCGGAAACATGACCTCCTGATGAGGGCACTGCACTTACTGAAGAGCGGCTGCAGCCCAGCAGTTCAGATCAAGATCCGGGAACTCTACAGGCGTCGGTACCCGCGGACAATTGAAGGACTTTCAGACCTGTCAGCCATAAAACCTGCTGTTTTCAACTTGGACAGCAGTCCCTCTCCTGTCGAGACTGACCTGGCTGTTGCTGGTATCCACTCGCTCCCTTCTACTTCGGTCACGCCTCAGTCTCCTGCCTCGCCTGTCAGTTCTGTGCTCCTCCAGGACACTAAGCCCCACTTTGAGATGCAGCAGCCATCTCCTCCGATTCCACCCGTTCATCCTGATGTTCAGTTGAAAAGCCTGCCTTTTTACGATGTGCTTGATGTGCTCATAAAGCCTACAAGTCTAGGTAAGTGTTTAATTACTCTGCAGGTTGCTTTAACCCATGAAATAGCTGTTGCTTGCAACAGTTCTCACTCCAGACTTAGTGTGTTTTGCAGCGGGGAGGGAAGTGGAAGGTCCTTTTCCTTCTGATCATAGAATAGTTTGGGTTGGAAGAGACCTTCAGAGGCCATCTAGTCCAATTCTTCTGCAGTGAGCATGGCCATTTTCAACTAGACCAGGTTGTTCAGAGACCCCATCCAACCTGACTTGGAAGGTTTCTAGGGGCATCTACCACCTCTGGGCATCCTGGGCCAGTGTCTCACCACCTGCAGTGTAAATAATTTTTTCCTTTTATCTAGTCTGAATCTCCCCTCTTTTAGTTTCAAATCATCACCTCTTGTCTGATTGCTATTAAGTCTGTCCCTGTCTTTCTAATTTTCCCTTGAAGTATTGAAAGACCACAGCAAGGGCTTCCTGGAGCCATCTCTCCTCCAGGCTGAACAACCTCAACTCTCTCAGCCTGTCCTCGTACAAGAGATGTTTTTATTTCTACCCTTGCCCTCTTTTCACCAGCTGTCCCCAAAAGTGCCAAGCCACACTTCAGAAAATAGTGTCCTTTTCTGTAAATAGTATCTGAGTAAAGATCTTTGGCTTTAGAGTCTTAAATAATAGGATAGAATAGTTCACTTGGATGGTGCATACAATGATCACCTAACTGCCTGACAACTTCAGGGCTGACCAAAAGTTAAAGAATAATAGTTAAGGGCATTGTCCAAATGCCTCTTAAACACAGACAAGCCTGGGTCATCGACCATCATGCTGGGAAGCCATTAGAAATGTTTTCTAATACCTAGTCTGAACTTAACCTGAAGTGACACTTGGCTCATAGATTTGGACCTGAAGTCTTTTTTGCCTGTTATTTTGTCTTGAAATTCAGCTTGTCTTACCTTACATGTTAGAAAATGTTCCCTAACTATTGAGTAATATTTAGAAACACATCTGCATTTTGCAAGCTGTTTGCAACCTCTTAGATTTTAGTTTCTTAACAGATAATAAGATTTTTTAGGCTGTGTCTTGTACTTCATGAGGTGTATACTGGTCATTGGCCATCTTCTAGTAGCTAAAGCAGCAGGCATTGCTAACAAGCACAGTTCACAATGCTTGTTGTAATTTCTGTTGGTGTGTCCTGACACCCTGTTAGTGGAGAGCTGCTGTGGTGTAGGATGGCTGTATGACTCATGCTGCCATTACCTGTACAGAGAGAATCTGCCAGTGCCACCATGTCCTGGTTAGCTCCTGTCTACGTTCAATGTGTGCATCAGCTGAATATCTTAAGTGGCTTCCTGAGTTACTCTTATGGAGCCACCCTGTCCCATATCGTTCAGTGTGTGCTCAGCATTATGTTTCTGCTGTGCAGTTGCCTTTTGTTTCCTGGTTAATGATATCTAGACATGGCAGTGACATGCTGGAAAATTCTCTGAATGCTGCTTTCCTCAACTTTGGAAGTAATCCTTTTTTTTTTTTCTGAAAGGAGAATGCTTTCTTAGGGGTATCACCATGTTACAGTTAGAGCTGCATGTACCTTTTCCCTTGACTACTGTATGTGGGTTCTTTGCACATTGCCCAGTTTTCCAAGGAGTGAGGATTATCTAGTCCTGTAACATTTGGGTTCTTATAGCACATGAACAAGGGGGACAAGAGCAATTTAACTTGAGTATTTGCTTGCCTTCAGACTCTTTCCAGAGCACAGGATCTGAAGGGCCACAGGCACAGCTGCAGCTCAGATCTGTGTGAAGAGAAGTGGGGAAATGAGATGTGAAAAATTACTTGATATGCAAATAATGGGCTCTTCTGATATTAGAAGGATACGAAGAGTGGCTGACAAAATCACTCTTCATGTTCATAAGCAAATTGGGAAATGAGGCTTCCTTTATTTAATATTCTTACATGGATAAGGGTGGGTTATATTCCCAGTTAGTAGACCTGGGTGACTGGAACAGGACCAAACAAGTTTTGTGTGTGTGGGAATTAAGGATTCAGAAACTGAATAGACAAGTAGGTCAGAGAGCTAGGAGTGTAGTCTGCTTCATTGCCACTCTTTAAAAGGGCTGAGCATAGGCATTCTTTTGCACTAATATGTGAACACAGAGCAGCTGCAGGTGTGGATTTATTTTTAACCCTCACTCAATTCAGTAATAAGGTATTTCTGATCTTTGTCACATGTGCTCAAGTATTAATTTAAAACAAAATGCAGGCTGTTGCGTCCATACATGCACATATGAAAGTTGTATTTTTTCTTTTTTCCCAAATGCTCCTAGGGGTTAATTTCCAGGCATGAAGCCTAGCTGGCTTCTCTGGCATTAGGGCTTGTGTTTGCTTCCTTTGTCCTCAAAGACTTAGTTACCTTTAGCTGTTTCTGAATTGAGTAGCTTGTCACTTCTGGTCCATTAAAGTAGTTGTAAATGTCTTCTCTGTGGTACCCTTTTCACCAGGTACCCAGTGTTTGTATTTTATTGTCTATTTGTTTGAAAACAAAGTCCTCTCTCCCTTGGGAAAAAGGATTATAATATGGCTTGCAAGCAACTCTAGTAGTGAAGGGTAATGTGATATTAAGCCACCTGAATATGATTTGTTCCATTGCTTTTTTCATTATGTAAAGTAACTTGCACCTTGTGCAGAAAAAACTAAATTTCAGGTTCTGTTTCAATCAATGCGATTAATCAGCATGACTAAACCACTTTGTGTCTCTTTTTTTTGTAGTACAGAGCAGTATTCAGCGGTTCCAAGAAAAGTTTTTTATCTTTGCTTTAACACCTCAGCAGGTCAGAGAAATCTGTATTTCCAGGTAAGGAGTAAGAGTGTGGCATGGTGTAAATAAACTTATGCAAGCTTTCAAAAGGAAGTGCAGTTTTTTCATTAATTTTACACATTGGATAAGCTTATAGATGTAAAGTGATAATCCTCACAGAAGTATACTGAGTTTCTGTTCTGTCTTCTCCAGCAATTACTGTGCACAGAATTTATGTGCAGTTGTGGTAAATCCTACACTACTGAAGAGTACTTGGATCCAAATAACTGTCTCTATTTAGAGAGGTGGCAGGCTTTTCTTCCCTGCATGTTTCCTGGCTGCAGGAATGGAAGGCTGCTTTTATCTTTTGTCCCAGGGTTCATGTTGTTGTAAGGCCTTTGGTGTAAGCCAAGAGAATTCAGAGGGCTTTTTCGTCTCTAGCATCATGCTTTATTGTTACTATAAACTCTTGACAGAGGGTGCTTCTCCTCAAATCCTGCTGTGCTTTCAGTAGCTAAGCAGAGGTATTGCTTTTAGGACTTGTTCATAGCTCAATAAAAGATAAATAAGAGCAGAGTTTAGTGATGTTGGGCTGGTGTGCCAGTTCTTTCTGCATATGACTGGAATATGAGATCTGCTGTCTGAATGGGTACTTCTCTTTTTCATTCTCTTTGTCACAGAGACTTCTTGCCAGGGGGCAGACGAGATTACACAGTCCAAGTTCAGCTGAGGTACCTTTTTCATAATGTTTTCTTACAGCTTCATAATTGGCTAATGTAACAAAAGTCTAGATGTTTGTGGGAACATATGAATGTGGTGACACTTGAAAATCACGCTTTCTCTTTTTGGGGATGTAGGTTGTGCCTAGCAGAGACAAGCTGCCCTCAAGAAGATAATTACCCTAATAGTTTGTGTATTAAAGTGAATGGGAAACTGTTTCCATTGCCGGTAAGCTTGTTTGTACTTATTTGTGGCTTCTTTGACTTCTGGGGTGTGTGTTCCTGTAATGTTAGCTTGCTGAAACAATCACACTGTTTACTGTTATGACACTTGACATTTCTCTAGTTACTAATGTTAGGCACCTGGTTTGTACATTTGCTTTGTGAGATACATGTTACTACTATTAGTCATGTTACAGCCACTTAATGGATATTGTGTTTTAGCCACCTATAGCAAACCTCATCTGTTGCAGCTAAACACAACAAAATATGTCAGAACCAAACCAGTGTGTGCATTGGGGAATCCGCCTCACTGGTCTTCCGAGTGAGTTTATTTGACTTGATTGGTAGCAGTCCTTGCTTTTTGGGCTATCTGTATTTCAGATTGGTGTGAGTTCATTTTGTTTGAGGGGACGGTATCACCTTATTCTGAATGAGTTTCTACACTGCTTTGCATCTCTCTGGTTAGAGCAGAATTAGTTGCAGGGATGAAGAACAGACATGCTTTAGGATTCTTAGCATTTGTTGATACTGGAACAGAACAAAGTTGGCAGTCACACACTTTACTGTTTTCTGATGTTTGAAAAGTTAGTATGTAGGCAGGGACACCTGAAGGCTTGAGGCTATACAAAAAAGGAAAAGTGCTGTCACTATTAGTGAAAAATCTGGACTGGGTATATCTCTACAGTGGAAAAGAGAAACTCTTATGTAACCCATTCTGAAATAGTTCTGGAAGCTGTAGAAGATGGAAAAAGCAGTAGTACAGAGGGTTTTTTTTTCCAGCAGCAGGTTTGGAAAAATGCTGTTTGGAGAGAGAAGGTGTGAAAACTCATTTTCAGAATGTTTGACACCTTCTTGGTATGTCAGATATGTTGTCCTGTATCATTTCTCCTGCCGTATACAATCACAACTGCTTTTTTTGCCTCTAATCAGCTTAAATGAGACACTCTATCTTTTTTCCCTACTTCTTTAACCATTGCCTCATTGTTCATCTCTCTGTCTTCAAGATTTCTTTGTATCTTCTGGTGAGTATTTCCTGCAATTGTCAGTTATTTTTTCTGTGATAAAGTGGAGGATTTTCTCCTTTCTTCTGAAGATTGTCTGTCTTCAAAGCAACCTACCATAAAGAGTTGGGTTTGGTTTTACCCTGTGAAGATCAATTTCTGCTGTTTCTCAGTTTTCCTGATGTAGTTGACCACCTGCTATGCTGTGTTAAGCTATCAGTTTTGTACATTGCAAAAACTGTTTGTAATCGTGGATTACTGCTTTGCTTTACATCTAAATTCTGTAGGTTCTTCCTGCATATCATAAAATGATGTTTTAATCTCTTCAGCAGAAACTTTAGGTGAAAAATTACTGTTGTCCTGGCAGCTTTCTTTCCTCCCCATGTTCAACATGAACTCTGACAAATACAATCTCACTCTGAGTGCTCCTGCAACCATTTTTTGTTGGTTAAGTCACTACCTGTATCCCTCTGGTGGTTCCTTTCTGTTGCAGGCAATGTAAGATAACCTCTTTGCCTCAAAGACTATTGTCCAACTCAGTAGTGCTGGTGTTAGGTAGTTAGCCAGTGATGCCAGACTCTCCTGCCAGCTTGTACAGTTGGTGAGTACTGTTCTGTCTTCCCCTGGTACAGCAGGGGTCTGTAAATTATTCTTGGTCATCTCCTTGATTTCAGTCCTTACCAGAAACTTGAGAAAAATGTTGCCTGTGTGCCAGTGTTGCTTCAGGTTGTGCCAACTCAGCATCATGTTTTCTTGTATTCATATCACTATCAGTGTCCTTGTACAGCATTGGTTCTGGCTTAAAAGGAGTAAATGTAGAGCCTTGCATGCTGGTGGCTTGGCAAGTAACAAGGACTTTGTGCATAATGCACTGCAGCAGGTGGTTCTTCTGTTGTCTGCTCTTCTAGGGAAGACAGGGTGTGAAAGTCTGAGAAAGTAATATGCCCTTCTTCTCAGGGGAACTCCATAGACCACTGCAGTTTTCTTTTGAAGGACAAAGTGAAGGGTATCAGGAAAGATAGGAAATAGCTAGACAGGGGAGCAATCACACTTCTGTGAGTAGGTTTTTCAGGCTGTGAAAGGAGAAGCTGCTGCCCTTAGCATTCACCCACTGCTCAAGGAGTCATAACCAATCACAGACAGGAGTACTTTGCAGCGGGCCACTCCAGTGAGCTGATGGATGCTCCTTCTGGCTCCACTCACTCACACATGCACACTTATTCTCAGAAATGCTTCATCCTTCTTCAGGCTCAACTCTAGGTTTCCTGCAGCAGAGTCTTGGGTGTCAGATCTTAGAAAAACAAATAATTTAATTGAAAGGTAGAGCAGCAGTGTCAAGTGGAGCTGGGTGCCTGCAGAGAGGGACCCTGAACAAAGGAGTCTCTGGGCAATTAGACCCTTGTGAACTACACACTCACCTGATGGGTGCTGTTCATTTGTCTTCTAGTCCAGTGGTAATGTTTGGTCTGGAGTCTTCTAATACCTTTTTGTGTTTTTCTGTCTCCAAGTAGCCAAGCTGTTGACTGTTCTTATCTTGCTGATTTGCAGTCTCTTCTGATGCTTGTAGCCTCTTTATCTACTGGTTTAATTTTCTTTTGCACCTGCACTTGTTAGCAGAACATGAGGAAATGGAAAGTCCCAGACTTACGAGAAACATTTCTTAAGTGTCCCAAACTTCAGTTTGTTATCATTTTTCTCAGACTAAGAAGACAAAACTCAGCATCGTAGGAGAACTACTAAGACAATTAACTCTGTGGCCTAAGGCTTCAGCAAATCTAGCTGTCATGCTCAGCATAAATCACACAATATTATAACTAATTAACTTATTGTAATGAAAAGTTATTTATCTAAACAACTGGTAATGGCTCTAGTAGGTTCCATCTGCTTTGACTAATACAGGTTTTGCAGGAAGCATGGAAGATTAAAGACCCAAATAACATTGCCACTTGCTAGCCACTAGAGTTGGCAGCCTAGTGACCATGTTGGTTGTGATAAGCAAGCAGAGTGCTCTTTTCTTAACTCCTGGAAGGCTAAGGAAGGGAAGGTTTTGAAGTGTAAAGGAGTAGAATATTCAATCTTTTCTCAAGGTCATTGCTCTGTGGAAAAAAAACCTCAAAGACTTGACTGAAATGCAGAGTTTGTTTTCAAAAAGGAAGAAAAATTGGGAATTATAAGGACTCTAGTTCTCTTAAAAGCAAGGCAGCTTCATTTTAGGTTGGAGACAGCCGGATTATTGTGGCTGGTACAGTAGGTGTAGAAATACTCTTCTAAGTATTGCAGGGAAGGTCTGTTCATCCACAAACTCTTGATAAAGTCACCACAGTAGAGAAAGGTCTATATATATACTCTATAAATGGCTGCAGCTGTGATTTTTTTATTAAAGAAATGGCAAATCTTTCACTCTCACATGTGAAATGGTCAGCAGTCCCCATACATCTGCTGCCTCTGTGTTCTGCAGTAAAGCAGACATGGTGAGGTTCCTGGTAGCTGCTGGGTCACTCATCTGGGGTGAGAACTATTTTAGAGAGTTGGTCAGCAACTGCTCTCTGCTGCTTTGGCCCCGCAGAACTGCTTGTAGAAGCTCTGAGTCCCTGTTCAGCCCCTGCAAGCAGGAGTCTGCTGTGAAATTAATAAAGGGCACTCATGAGGGCCAGGGCTTGGTTGTCAGGTGAAATGTGTGACTAGTAATAGAGCTTTGGAAACATGGGAAATTATGTGACAACTACTGAGTCCTCTCTGGATTAACAGCAGTGATTATCCTCTGGTGTACTTGGCTAGGGAGTGGAAGAGGCTGGGTTTTTTAAACTTTTTTTAAAAATTCTGTTCTCAGATTCACAGCTTTTGATCCTAAGAACCAGGCCATGAATGTGTGTGCTCTTCTGGATTAAAAAAAACAAAGTGTGTTTTTTCTAGCATATCCTTACTGGGGGAGTCACGGTCATGAACTAAATGAAACCTTTCAGTCAGTTCTGTGCAAGACCTAGGGCTGCGCTCTTTCACTGGCACCCTTCTGGTGCAGGGTGAGTTTTTTGAGATGAGTGGGCTGCAGGATGTCTGTGTGAGCTCAAAAAGAGGGTCTCTGAGTTCCTGGTACAGACTGTCTTGCTTTCATGGTGGCAGACGTGAGGTGAGAGAACCAAGCTGCAGGTGCTATGTGCTCCTTCACTCAGCACATGTACTTTCTGCTGGAGAGTGTGAGCTTGCCTAGAAGCAAAAGGGAACCGTGTGGCTCCTAATTCAACTCACAAACATCATACAGGAAATAGAACTAGAGAGAAGCTTGTCCAGGTTATGAGATTCTTCATCAAACCTGAGTAAACAATATGTAGTTTATTTTGTTTCTGAAGCCAACAGCGAAGCGTGGGTTCTTAAACACAGGTAATTATTTCCTGTACAGCTCCTCTTCAGGGACCTTGGCAGAGGGTGTCACTAAGGAGACTAGGTGTAGTGGATGCACGGCAATGCAGGCAGCCAGGAGATGTGGAGCTCTTGGAACCAGACTTTATTATCTCTTAATTTTAATCAGTTAAATGCTTTCTGTGTGGGAAACACTGAATTAATTCTTTGTTACTTGCTGTGTTGCTGAGGCTGTGCCCTTGCAATGTTCCCACTTTTTCTGTAGGGTAGTGGAAAAAAGGACAAAGCATCAGTATTACTTTTTACTCTTGCAGTGAACTTACTTAGACTGACACTTCTGTAAAACCACTTTAAAACAAAAAATGCTTTAAGATTGTGGCTGACTTACAGTGTTAGGCTGTCAAGAGACTGATTCTTCTCAGAATACGTGTTGAGTTTGGCCTTGGGCCTAAAGAACCCCTAGGTCTACCTGCCTCCCATAGATCTGTTTCAGCAGGTTTCAGAGTACAGGAAGGAGACTTGCTAACACTTCTCATCCTTTCTTCCCACAGGGATATGCTCCACCGCCAAAAAATGGAATTGAACAGAAGCGACCTGGACGCCCCTTGAATATAACCTCTTTAGTTAGGCTATCATCAGCAGTGCCAAACCAGATTTCTATTTCCTGGGCTTCTGAAATTGGAAAGGTAAACCTTGTGTTCTTTAGGATGTTGGAAGTTGTTGAAACAACAGCCTCGTCTGGCATTCCTTCTCCCCCACTGCCTGTTGTTGCTGGCAAGGCACACACCAGCAAGTTCAGTATTAGGTGGCTGAGCCTGTTACCAGTGCCAGGAAACAAAGCTTGCTCTAGAAGCATGGTGGTTTACAGTAACCTGAATAAGATTTGCTTGCAGCTTACAGACACTCAAAAGAATTTGCATTAGAAATCCTGCTGGTTGTGTTACACCAAAATCTGTTTGTGGTGGAAAGAGAATCAGAGAATGGCCTAAGTTTGAAAGGTCCTTAAAGTAAAAAACCCAGTTCAGAGATGATGAAATAACAAATGGAAAACCTTTTTTCCTTCTTGTGGCCTGATGGTGTCGAAGGTGAGATTATGTAGCTATGTATTCTAAGGCATGTTTCTCAGTGTTGGTGTAGCAGTCCATTGGAAAAGGCTTCTTAAACTGACTAAAGGTGCTGAGGCCATGGGGGAGAGGACATGTGTTTGCTTTTGAGGTGTTTTCTAACCAAGTAATACTGCGTATTGTTACAAAATCAGTTTTTATTTAATTGGAAGAACTGTTTAGTAGGTATTTCCATATCTATTAAAATTGTATTTGCAAGTAAACCAAAACTAGGGTGGAATTTCCAGCTTGGAAAGCTCTTAGATGGCAGATTGCTGGGAAGGGTTTCCTGGGGAGGTGTCAGGCTGTTGGGGTCAGCTGTTTCTGGGCTTGATAGATTTCAGCTATGCTTGGCTGGACCTTACTTGTGTGTTGTGTGTGTTTGTCATGCAGAATGTGCATGTGTGTCTTTTCCTACAAGGGAAGAGCATCTGGAAGTTTGTGTGACATGAGGGAGAAATGACTCAATGTGGGGAAGGATGGAGAGCTGGGAAAATAAAAGAAAATTGAGGCCTCTTCATAATGGAATTCCAAACTTCATGGAAAGCTGTACTAGGGAAAAAGCAGGCTAGACTTCAGGTGGCAGGATATAAAAAGGGATGGTGACTGAAATGTGATGCCTGTTGCTTTCTAGTATCTTCAGTCATGAATCATAGTTAAAAGGAATTAGCCTTTAAAATGGCTGCATGGCTGTTTAAAAATCTCCCTTTGGATTTATTGAGGAAAGGGAGAGTGTAAAGAATTTCTGAATTCTTCCTAGGTTTAAATAGCTGTTGCAGCAGCCATTTCAGTTGATGGTAACTGAGAAAGTACTTACTCCTCTCTCGGTGACTAGCTGTGTAAATCCTTCTGGATTCAATTATCAGAGTAGCTTGCTTGCTTTTTTCTTCAAAATTAAAATGTGGACCAGACACACCATATGTTTCAAAGTGAGACTCCACTATAAACTTTTATACACTAATTAAAATGTTAAAAATAAATTGCCTAGAAGGCTAATGCTCAGAAAATAAATGAAGGGCAGTGCTGACAGCAAAGATTTTCTGAAGCAGAGGTGGAAGGAAAGATCTAAGCACAAGAATCTTGAAATGACTGCAGTGTTGTGTGTGGTCTTGGCCCCTCCTGCAGACCCCTCCTGTATCTGCCAAAACTTATCTTCATGGAACCATGTGCTTTGGAGATTGTCCCAGCATTCCCCCTTGCCCTGGGAGGTAGAGTGAGTTCAGTGAGTTCTCTGGTTTCATGCTGGCACTCTGCTCTAAGGATTGGAACTAGCACAGCAGCTCTCCCATTCATCCTCTAAATGGGACCCATAGGTACAGTGTGGAGTGTCAGTGGGTTCACATGGTGAGGGCTTATTGGCACATGCTTGACTGATGGTGGAGGGCTTCTCAGCAGAGAAGGCTGTCATCCTACACAGGGCGTCAGACCTGAGCCTATGGAATGCCTTCTGTAGGCAGTGAGCAGTGCAGTGTATGGTCATCCTCATTAGGAAACTGAGCAGGAGAATTTCAGCTGACAGAGCCCTGGATCAGGCTGCCCAGGGCGGGTGTAGAGTCCCCTTCTCTGTAGATATTCAAGATCCCTCTGGATGCAACCCTGTGGAATGTGCTCCAGGGGATCCTGCTTTAGAAGAAGAGTTGGACTGGATGATGTGTAGAGGTACCTTCCAACTCTGACAATTCCATGGTCCTTTAATGGAAAAAACAAGGAGGTTGGAGCCAGAGGGGTCGGGCTCTGCTCCCCAGGAACAAGGGATGGGACAAGAGGAAATGGGCTGCAGTGGTGCCAGGGGAGGCTGAGATGGGATGTTGGGCAGCATTTCTTGCTGGCCAGGGTTGTCAGGCCCTGGCCCAGGCTGCCCAGGGCAGGGCTGGAGTCCCCATCCCTGGAGGGGTTTCCAAGCCGTGTAGATGTGGTGCTGAGGGACGTGGGGCAGGGGTGGCCTTGGCAGGGCTGGGGGAGTGGTTGGGCTGGGTGGTGTTAAAGGTCTTTTCCAACCAAAACAATTAAATGATTCTATGACTTCTCTTTCCCATGCATTTATATAACTTTATCCTGTCTTGTTTAGAGTTGGGTTTCCTACAGGTGACAAAGGAGGAGCAGGGCAGTACAGGTTCTTATTTAACATTCCTGTGCAATACCCTGACAGGATAGCAGCCATGAGAAGGTGGCTGGCAGGGAGACTGCAGTTTGTGTTTGTTAAACAGATGAAACCATTATTATTCTGCACTAGTGGAACTTGCAGAATTTTCTCTTCATTAGTGACCTGGAGGAGAGAGTGAACACTGAAGAAAAGAATCTATCGGCTAGTATGAATTAGGAAAGAATAGTAAATGCTAGGGAACATGGCCAGCCTCAAAGGAATATGGTGTAATGAGGCTTGGCTTGCAAGTGCAGAGCAAGCTAAAGAGGAGGTGCCAGGAAATTTGTGCAGCTCTCTGCCATTTGAAGGTGTTGGTTTTGCACCTGGAAGAGCATTCAGCTTTTCTTTTGTCATATGATTCTTTGAGCTCATTACTAACCCATTGGCACTGAAAAAAGGGAAGGATTTAGGAGACAAACCTGAGGAGTTTGTAGAAAGTGAAGATGAATGAGAAGGTGTGTCACCAGTCTAAATCGTTCCAGGAAAAAAGATTTGTTTTTTGGTTGTGGAGTTATTCTTCTTAGTTAAGTCCCGATGGAACAACTGGACTTGACTGGCAGGAGAATTCCAGCAGAGCCTTAGACTCCTTCACAATAATGAAGTCATCTGCCCATGCTGTTCATAACTACTAAGCACAGAATCTGCATGTTCTTGTTTTTACTGTATGCTACAGCTAGTAATAACTAATCTGTTGTCATAGTGGGAGTGCTGTATTTCATTGATGTTTCATCTTGAATCACTTTTTTGTAGAATTACTCCATGTCTGTGTATCTCGTTCGTCAACTCACTTCAGCTATGCTTCTGCAGAGATTAAAAATGAAAGGCATCAGAAACTCTGATCATTCCAGAGCACTAAGTAAGTCAAGCTAATTTGCCTGTCTGTACTTTTTGAGGGTGGTTGGTGGCTCCTGAAAACTATAACTACTAATACTAAGAGGATTATGGAGCATTTTAAAAACAAAGTCCATATCCGGTGTATCAAAGGTTCCCTTTGCTGTTCCTGCGGCATCATGCACTTGTTCAGTGAGGGTCCATGTACCAGCAGATGGGAACTATGGGTCCTATCTGAAATATTCTTTGTGCCTCACTCATTGATGGTTACTTTATTAATCTCTGGGCATGTTGGGTTGAGTTTGCTCTACTACCCATTGTGGCTGTTAGTGCATCTGCTCTGCATCAAACAGTCCTGTGATAACACCGTGTTTGCCAGCTCCTTACAACCAGTGGAACCATTGCTGTGAGCTAGTTTCCTAGATTCTTTTCAGATAGCTGGAAATGAAGTAGATGTATTAGTGAATCAGGATTAGCATTTTAAATAATGATGTTTGTGTGTAACTTTATTTTAATAGTTAAAGAGAAACTAACTGCAGATCCTGATAGTGAGATTGCCACAACCAGTCTGCGGGTATCTCTGATGTGTCCTGTAAGTATGCCTGGAAGTTGCCATATACAGATTTGTATTTTCATCTTTAGTGTAGACCTTTTTAAAGCTCCTACTGGAGAAACTTCACTCGCTTTTGTTAAGCTTAGTGTTAAAATGGGTATTATGCTATTCTGAGTCTAAGATAAAAACCCTTGAAATACTTGGTTAAAAAGAATTTATAAAAGTTGATGCTTCAGTAGGTCTCTTAATAATAAAAAAACAACATCAAATCCTAGAAATAACACTGCAGGTCCATTATACATGCTTCTGACTGTGTTCAACTCTGAAGACTTTGAGGATAGCACTGTGTGAAGGACACTTTCCCTGCTTTGGTAGTGTGCGAGTAACCATAGTACTGGGCACCTCTGTAGTGGGAAGAGACAATTGCTGCACCAACTGCTCAGTGTTGGCCACCTAGGCCTGCTTCACTGTCTCCTCTTCTGACACTCTTTAAATGCATCTCCTGCAGCTGGGGAAGATGAGACTGACAATCCCATGCCGGGCTGTTACTTGCACACACCTGCAATGTTTTGATGCTGCTCTTTATCTTCAAATGAATGAAAAAAAGCCTACCTGGATCTGCCCTGTCTGTGACAAGAAGGCAGCCTACGAGAGCCTCATATTAGATGGGTAAGAGACTGGGTTTGCAGGTTACACAGTTACTTATTTTTTTATTATGTAGTTGATTGCAGCTTTTGTGACTTGATGTTTTGTGATGAGGTTGAGCCATTTCTATTTCCTTTGTCAAAATATTTCAGGCTGGGAGGAACCAGTAGATGTCTGGATGTCTGTGAAGGCTGTAGTTACAGCCTTTCAGATAAGATGAACTATGGAAAGAGTATATGGAGTGGGTTGAAGATGATCACAATTAGCTCTTCAACTGTCTCCTTTTCACTTAGAATAAAAAATGTTAATCGGAATAAAAAATGAAACCACTCAACTTTATTTTTCAGGCTTTTCATGGAAATTCTTAATGAATGTTCAGATGTGGATGAGATCAAATTCCAAGAAGATGGCTCCTGGTGCCCCATGAGACCAAAGAAAGAAGCTGTGAAAGTCTCAAGTCCACAGTGCACCAAAATAGAAAGTAAGTTCATCTGGGTACTGGTTGCAACCCAACAAAAAAACCTTGGAGACTTAGTTTTAGCTTGGATAATGTATATGGATGTTGATGTTTGTTTAGTGGAGGGCTTGATACTTCTAACCTTCTTGTCATTTAAACTAAAAGGAAAGAGTTGTATGTCTAAAAGTGTGCAGTTCTGGGCTTTGTCTTTGGTCTTCTTAATAGCTCTTAAGAAAACAGAAGGTTTCTTTTGTTTTATGTGCTTAAATTGCTAAGTGAAGATTAAAGCTTGTGCTTGAATATTCTCCACATGATGCAGAATACTGATAAAACAGCTCCTGGGCCATAACATTCTCTGTGGTGGCCAGGAAGATGAGCTAAGATAGGATAAGAGTTCCTGGTTTTGTTGTACATGGAAACTGCTGATGTCAACAGCCTTTAAAAACACAGTGATACTTTGTTTTCTCGTTTAGGTTCCAGTGTTGTTAGCAAACCCTGTTCTGTGACATTGGCCAGTGAGGTCAGCAAGAAGAAAGTTGACGTTATTGACTTGACAATAGAAAGCTCTTCTGATGAAGAGGAAGATCCTCCTGCCAAAAGGAAGTGCATATTTATGTCTGAAACACAAGGAAGCCCAAACAAAGGGTTTGTCAATCTTAAAGTCAGTTGTTATTCTTTAATTTCTCGGAAACTGATTCATAGTCAATTGGACTTGTAATCTGACTTCAGGATCCAGAGGATAATTCCTAGGCCTCTCCTTGCCCAAGGCTGTGTTGATATGGTACCTTTGTACAGGCAGAACACTATTAAATAGATTCACTTCTCACAAAAGGCTTGCACTGACTGTTGCTGTGTTTGCAGGGATATTTTTCTATAGAGGAAGGAAGCTGATTGAGCTAATGGACAGGATTCTCCTGAGAAAGCAGATTATGCCAAGTGGAGGAGTTTTATCACTCTTGCTGAGATAGTGTCGTCTCAAGGCTTTTCTCTCCCTGTCTGTTACACCCTTTATCAGTCTACTCTGGCGCCCAGGAAATCAGGCAGCATTGTGTTCTTCCATCCTGCCAATCTTGGAAGGGAGGTGCCTTGCTGATTTGAATCAAGAGCTTTTCCTCCATCTCTGTTAAACTCGAATGGCTTGGACACTGTTGTTGGCCATGGTCATCAGTCAGTCCTGCACCTTGGTGAGCACAACTAGTGACTTCCCAAGTCCTCTGACAACTCCATCTTTGTAGTCAAGCCTGACTCCAGCAGCAGGCTTAAAACCAGCTGCTTCTCGCTTGTGCCACCTTCAGTCTGTCCCAGTCTGTGCAACTCGGCTGCATTTACTGTTCGTGGCTTCTATAATGTTCCTGCTGTTGGGTGCAAGAGACCTGCAGGGAGAAAGGGGCACTGGCTAGGCTCACCAGCAGTGACTACTCCAGGTGATTCCAAACCTCAGCTTTCAATAATGGCTTCTTGGTGTTGCTGCCTGCATGAGGTGTGTTTGTCTCTCAGTGTAGTGGCTTGTGTCTTCTGCTGAAATAGTAGTAACAAAACCAGACCTCTTCTGTTTTGACAGCTTTTGAGGGAATGAGCAGGTGTCTCTAGTCTACAGGCATGTGTGGTATTGGATGAACAACTAGGTGGTCATCTTCCACAATTATCAGCAGTGATAATGAAATGCTCTTCCTTTTCCTGAGGCTTGTGGAGTCTTCCTTCTGCAGGAGACTGTTTCTTTTTATCGTAAGAGAAACAACGGCTACAAATAGATCTCTTGATGAAGTTTCAGAAGGCACCAAGACTTCTTTCTATGCTCCTGTGTTTGTCTGAGGTGGCTACGTGTAAGCATAATTGCAAAAGGACGGAGTTTTCTTGTCTGTCTGTGGCCAATGTATTTTCCTTACTGTTTGAGTGTGGGAAGGGCATGTTTTCTTTCTTCAAATCCAAGTCAAGACCAGTCTTCTGGGGAATAGCTCAACTGCTATAAACAATGTTGCCAGAGTGCTAGTTCTGGCAGAACTGTGGGGAGTCTTCCTGTAGGGAGAAGCAATGTAGGCTGAAGTGCTTGAGAAGGGAGGGTCTGGAAGCTTTGGCTGTCAGGAGTAACATAAATGCCCCAGTGCAGCAGTCTGGGGAAGAGGAAGATAGGAGTGGATAATGCTGTAGGCTGAGGGAGTGATGTGGAGCAGCTGAAAGCAAGACTGGTGATCCCACCATGGGATATTTTATGCACATGGCTGGTGCCTGAATGTCTGTGGTGTTGTCTTTGACAGTGCTGGGAAGTGATGGGGCAGAAGGTGGGGCTTCCTTCTCCTGGAGAGCTGAACTTAGCATGGGCTTAGGCTGTGAGACAAGGTGGGTTTGATATTTTATCTCCATGGATGTCATTTGTGCTCCAGGGGCTCCTGGCATGACAGGTTAGCACTGTTAAGCAGTCATGTGGATAAAGGGAAATAGAATCGTAGGGGTTGTAAGGGACCTTTAAAGATCAAGTCCACCCCCCTGCTGCAGCAGGAACACCCAGGGCAGGTCACACAGGAACGTGTCCAGATGGGGCTGGAAAGTCTCCAAAGAAGGAGACTCCACAGCCTCTCTGGGCAGCTTGGCCCAGGGCTCTGTCACCCTCACAGCAAAGAAGTTGCTCCTGATCTTGAGGTGGAACTTCCTGTGTTGTCACTTGGAGCCGTTTCCCCTCGTCCTGTCCCAGGCACCACTGAACAGAGACTGGCCCGTTCTTGACACCCACCCTGCAGGTATTGAGAGATGTTCATCAGGTCCTCTCTCAGCCTTCTCTTCTCCAGACTACACAGCCCCAGGTCTCTCAGCCTTTCCTCATCAGACAGATGTTCCAGTTCCCCTCACCCTTGTAGCCTCCCTTGGACTCTTCCCAGTAAATCCCTGTCCCTCTGGAACTGGGAAGCCCAGAACTGGACACAAATAGGTGCTCTCCTCCTGGCTTTGGCTAGCTACACATACCTTCCAAGGTGCTCCACAGGTGGAGGTTTCCGTTTCTGTCTCTGAATGGTATAAATGACTCCAGCACTGCACTTAATGCCAACTTGCTCTTACGTCACAGCTGCTGTTGAGAGCCTTCATGTTGTTGTGAAGACTGTTAGGAAAGAGGAAGTTGGCGTGGAACACTGTGCAGTGAGTAGCCAGGCCACAGTGTTGGTGTAACATAGTGACTTTGTGGTACAGAGCCCACAGCAGTGCTTAATCTCTCTTTTGTAACAAAGGGCCAGGTTGTTTGTAATTTCCCATGCTGTTTGAAACAGGGTTCTCATGTATCAGCCATCTTCTGTCAGAGTGCCCAGCGTGACAACCGTCGATGCTGCTGCTATTCCTCCCTCGTTAACAGACTACCCGGTACCATTCCATCATCCACCAATATCCAGTATTTCATCAGACTTGCCAGGTATGTGGTGGCTATTTTCAATGCCTGTTCTGACAGCCTTATTAATTTGTGGGGTGGGTGCAAATTGGAGGATTGTCCAACTCTTTATGGAACAAGACTGTATTGCAGTGATGTCTAGACAAGTCCAGTTCAGGCTGCCTGTCCTGTTTCAGCTTGCACTATGCAACAAGGATGTGAGAAACATTGCTTCTGGGATGCAAATTGGCACTGTGGAACAGCAGCCAGAAACACTTTGTGCTGTTTTCAGTTAGACTGTGTGTAAATGTGTGGCTGTGACTGTAGATGCAAGGGAGAGTAGCTGCTTGTGTAAGGTGTAGAGGTGTGATGGCACTGACCCACCCCAACCCTAGAGGTAGAGATACTCTGCTAGTTGATTCTAGTGGTGCTCTTGTCTAGACTGTATGAAAAAGGTTAAGGTGAGCTACGATCTGTAAGCTGACCTCTATTGACTTTCTTTACCTAGACATACCCTAAATGCCTATGATGTATTCTTCAACACTGCTGCTAAATATCAGACAAAAGGTGGGGATACTGATTGTTTTCTATCCTGGCTCCTTGAAAAGAACTCTGTGTGTAGGGACTCTGGGGGTTCTCTTTGCCGGCTGTAGCGAACCCAGAGCCCAGGAAATGGTGACTTGTGGTGACAGGTGTCACTTTGGTCTCCCGTACTTCCCTCTTCCCCCCTCCATTGCCTGTCTCCCATTTCTCCCCTGCAACATCTCTGGGTGTTTTCCTCTTCTTTCAGCACCAGTTTGGCAATGGGATGGATATCATTCCCCTTGTTTCTCTGTCCATTTTGGCTCCCTTACTCCTCCCTCCCTCCACTTCTCCCTTGTCAAAAGAATCGGCTGTCTTCCCAAATTGGATAGGAGAGTAAGCTGAGAGAATGGAAGTCTAGAACTGGTTTTTGTCCATCTCTTATCAACTGAAATTCTGGAAAACAAAGAACAAATGTAGCTGCCAATTCTGTAAAAGCAGCTGCACTTAAATCTCCTTCAAAGCTTTTCTCTAATGATGAAGAGGAGGAGAGGCTGCTGGCCAGAAAAGATTTGGAGGTGAGGGGAGAGGGTGGGAGTAAGTTTACCATTTCTTTCTGTTGACATAGCAAACACAAGGCCAATATTTAAAAACAACAAAAAAGGCTGCAATTTATCATTGTTTTCATAATTTTAAACATCTTGCCATAAGTGCTTACATGCTAATGGTGTACAAGATGGACACTAGTTGTCACTGCTCTTAGAGGATAAACGTTGAACTACTTGTAGTCTCCTCTTCTTCGTTCCTTTCATTTGTCTAGACACAAAACGGGGATGATATTAGAAATGTTTCCTTATTGGCTGCCCATGGGTGGAGGAAGAGACCTGCTGCTTGTTTTTGGACTTGTGCATGTTGTGACTTTACTTCATTCCAGCATCTTTAATGTGATGACACTCTTCATGTCCCAGTTTGGCCAAGTCAGGTACAATACGCAGTGAAACTTGCATTATGAACCAACAGCTCCAAATGGCAAGCTCCATCTAAGCAACCACATTGAATCACCTTGCAATATTCAGTGAATAATACATCATTGTGTCATTCTCATTCTTAAAGAGCCACTTGTACTAGATAACTCGTTTTGCTGCTGCCTGAAGTAGTCGTTGAGAGTGGTGTCACAGTGGTATGTTCCATTTAGAGACTGTGTAACAGTTGCAAAATGTGTTCTAGGACCACAAAAAAAAGTTCCTTAAGTTTTGTTGTGTTTGAAAAACAGATCAACTCACCAATTTATCATTTTTCTCTTCTTTGTAGGTCTGGATTTTCTTTCACTAATCCCAGTTGATTCACAGGTATGTTTCTGAACTGCTGTGGGGTTAATTTCCAAGTCTGCTTTTTGTGATGTGTTGAGTGCTTGAGTACCTGTGTGGGTGCTGCCATAGTCCATCACTGCAGTCCACTTGCTTAGACACAACAACAGAGCAGGAAGGTCCGTTTTCCCAACAAGAGGTGGTGATGAAAATGTGTTAAGGGACGATTCAGTTTAGCCTCACTATGTGAAGTCTAGACATGGAAATTTGCTCTTTATGGACATTTTGCCTTTCTAAAGCTGATACGTGCACAATGCTAGCTCAAGTGTCTGTAGGCCAGGTGGAGCTCTGTAAGTGCACCTCACTGATTGCTGTTTCTGTTGGTTTTGGTATTTGTAGATTGTTTTAAAGAAAATACCTTCATTAATTGGATGGGCACATGACCATTTTCATAATAAATCCATCCGTGTAACACCTAAACCCCATTGGCTTTGGATTATTTGGAAATTTATTAGGTCAAAAGTAATTAGGCAGTATTTTTACTTCCCTGAGAACTTATATTTTTACACTAAGCAGAAGGATACTTGCTGTGACCAGAGTCTTAACACAGACATACTGCAGCCTTGAAATGTGGGGGAATGCTATCCTCGTAACTAAGGCAAGAGGATCAGAAGAAGACACTCCATCTCTGCTAGTAGAAAACAGCAGTGGGACTTTACTGTAGGGTTTACTTTCTGGTGCCTTGAAGGGTGAAGTTCCTCCTTTTTTTTCCACTTCCTGCATTTTGCAGTACTCCATGCCTGACCTTGAGATCTGAACTGCCAAGGGTGGGAATAACTTGAGGGAGACTGGAAGCAGGTTTGCTGCTGTGAAGTGTCCACTTTGGGCAGTTCAGACAGTTCAGGCTCAGTTCCAGACACATGCCCAGGCTTGGAATCTGCAGGGTAAGGAAAAGTAAGATGTGTTGAAAAACTTGTGTGCACGTGGGGGTGTCTTACACCATCCTCTTCTTTGACATCTGGCGAGCTTGTTTGGTTTCTAAATACCTAAAATGTAGAGCTGTGTTTCCAGAAGCCTTGTTGTCCCCTTCAGGGCATTGAAATCAACTTAATATTTTCTTAAACGGGTCCTGATCAAGCCTGATGATCAGTGCTGTAGTGCTTAGAGGCCTAGATGTATCATTGCAGGTGTATACTGTGAAAACAGGGGTGCATGCAGCAGCTGCCATTTGAGGGGATGGAGTTACTCTGACCACCACTGAAGTAGCAGAGGGCATTGTGCCACCTCTGTGAGGAAAGGGACATGAAATACCACAGTGGTGTCTCTCAGCTGGGGGCAGCAAACGTGTCCCAGATGCTAAGGGGTGTTTTGTGAACGTTGTGTGGTGGTGTTTCTTGATGTGCTGGTAAATGCTGAAGCTAACCAGTTAGTAATGAAAAAAAAAAAAACAACAAGGGGAGGGTGGGGTGGATGGGCTCTTGGGGACAATCCCAGCTCGACTGACTTGCTGGTTGTCAGGAGTCTGCTTCTTGCCACGCAGGTGTGGAGGAGGTTCTGCTGTCGCGTGCTTGTTGTAGGGGAAGATGTATCTTCAGGTCATACATTTCCCTTGTGCAGTTAGTCTCCTCATTCTCCGTTGTTTGTTTCAAGCAGTACTGTCCTCCTATGTTTTTGGATAGTCTCACCTCAACCTTAACAAGCAGCACGCCTGGCAGCATCATCACATCCAGCAGCCACCAGGAGAGCAGCACCCACGTTAGCTCCTC